CCTCTACTCTACTAGAGAGATTTTAGGAATCTGGATTTTTCTTTTTTTTTCACAATACCGCGAAGAGAGCATTATTGTGACTCTGCGAAAATCGCAGTAATAAGAGATACAGGACCATTATTCACAAGGATGTGAGCGACTCACAATAGACAGCACATGGGAAGCACACGAACGTTGAGATTATTTGTTAAATTGTATGATAAGAAGAGAAAGCTAAATCATGCAACATTCATCGAAGTACATATAGCTTATCGTAGCTTTGAACGAATATTTTACATATATTTTTTAACATATTATTATAGAGCCAACTTAACGAGAGTCTCAAGTGTAATGATCAAGAAATGTCAAGCTGGCATGTGTTTCCTTTTGGCGCGAATAATTGGAAAATGTGTAATATTGTACTTAATATCGCTGAAGAAAGCGAAGAGGCACTTTCTTCAATACTCGCCATTGTATATCGATCGTTGCCACAATCGTCATTAAAATCCAAGCGCGTATAAAGACGGGAATTAAAATAGTTATCAAAGCAACGGGAGGGCGTGCAATTAAGATATCCGAATTGAAGTCCGCTCTCAGACCCGCGCGGTATAATCGATTGCCTTTGTGGCACCTGTCGAATGACGGGTAAAACCCGATTTTCAGATTCCATTGAGAGACGCGAAAGCGTTGGTGGCCGGGAAGACGAGGAGGCAATGTGACTGACAGGCTTCATGGTTTATTCGACAAGTCGAAGAGTACACAGGAAAGCCTATAACATCGTATCCAGCTTGCGCTTTGGGTTAACAGCCTGGGTGTCCGACGATGTACCATGATGCATGACGCGGTGTCGAGTTCCAATTCGCCGGGCATCCATGAAAGCAGGCTCTGTGCCTGATGTAAAATATCGGCGATTCGGGATGAAACGAAGCACGCTGCGTCCAGTTTGTGTGCATGTAGTAGATGAGGACCGCCGATTGCGCCTCTTTGAACGATTACGTTTAACTCGATGTACAAGCGCACGGTTTTACGGCCGCGTACATAAGTAACATGTATGCGTATTGTTAATATGAAAAATATCAACGTTTATACATCAAGATGCTTTTTTGACGTGGACTAAGCGAAACGCATTGGCTGGATGTTCCAAAACGTTAAGGAATACAACTACAGAAAAAATCTATTTGCGAGGAAAACCTATCTTTAATTAAAAGGCGAATGTATTTTATTTTGTATGTCAAGAGATGTTTTCAGCGGGATATTAATTCGCTGGTTTCGGATTAATGACCTAAGAATCGATTATATCTACGTGCCACCACATTTCGTGAAATCGATCGGACTAGCTGTGTCCTCTAAATAATGTTTCAGTTTGCGCTTTTATGATTCAAATACATTGCGGTAGAAATGTAATGTTTTGGTTTATATTTTATTACTAATGATAACACGAAACATTTATTCATACAAATATTTTAGATCAATGTTGCATCAATTAGAATGCATAACTTCATCAAGGTTACGAAACAGTTAGGTAAACAACGATATACACATCAATTATGATTGGCTTTGGATATTGATGTAATTAGGACGTATAAACGTTATTAAATATTGTTTATTATCGTATATCGATTTTCTGTGTCCTCGTATGGAATCGCATATATAATAAAATCTAATATATAATCATGAATTAATATATAAAGTTTACTAAAATATGAAAATAGGTATTAACATAACAATACACCTAAATATCATTTAATATGGTCGTTTTGATTCATTAATTAATAATTAATAAAATAATTAATAAAATAATAAATTAATAATACATATTCGCAAGAAGCTTCTCACCGTGTCCATTTTAATGTGATTCTCATGTAATTATATTTGCGAAAAGCGAACGCAACGGAATAATCGATGCAAGAAAAATATTTGAATTTTTGAGAGAAAATATTAGCATATAATTTTTAGTTGCAAAAGTAAATCCGGTATATAATATGATATAAATTTTAATTGTATATTTTATTACATATTATTAAAGTCCGAGATAAAAGAAAAGTCAATATTTAAATGACATTGTATGGTGGATGAGAAAATAACGATATAGGACACATATATAGGAACATTCTTGAACATTCAAAACGGATTTAGGAAAGGTACCTTCGTAGATACCTACTCGATGAGGATTAGGAAGTGATTTGCAGGCGATTGCCGATAGCGATGGAAACACGAAAGCCGGAATTTATCGTGATTGGAGCGAGTTCTCGTGAGAGAGTCATGAAGCTTCGAGGGCCGTTATCTCGTGCATGCGCCAGATACGCACGAACTATCAGTTTTCATGAACACACTCTATGATGTAAGTACATGCTCTCATTCTTGGAGGACATATTTATCGTTATGTGTATTATATTCTCTTTCAACAAGTACACGCAAGTTCTATAGATCTTTAAGGTCTATAATCCGTGGGAAAAGTCCCAAGTATTGGAAATATATACAAATAGCAGGATGTAATCAAATTGATTGGACACGTTAATTAGGAAACATCACATATTTTACATTCCGTTCGTTTTCTTGGTGAAATTCACATTTTGAAAGTCAGATCAATTCCTTTAAATAAGAATTTCTTCTTCTGTCACGAAATCTCATTAATTTCGTAAGAATGTAACGACCCTGGCATTCCATCTCCCACTACTGACTTTCGTATCGCAGTCTCTCATGTTCTGCCGAAAATCTTACGTTCACGCATATCCATCTGGACCGCGCGGCGATTATGGCGACTCATTAGCTGCGCCTGTAAATCATAGCGGTCTCCGCGACGAAGACGGGAGATGCGCGCTGAATGTGGGAGTTTCGGAGCAAAACACATAAGCGAGCGAGAGACGGAGAACAAAGCTGTGGTCCAGAACGGGACGGACGGCGCGAGCGTGTCCGAAGATGGCCGAGCACGAGCGGAGGAAGCCGACACGACTCGCGAGGGTTCCTCGCGATATTCAATGGTTTCAGTACCGAGCCGCCGCGGGTCAGGACTCGATGTGGCTTCATCGCGAGGGAGATTTATTATCGAACGCCTCACGACGGTACGCGACATGGGTAGGTGATCCATGAATCAAAATCGGAGCAGAAACGCGTGGTGTCATCATTCACGGGTCGTTCACAGATCATCTTCGCGATCTGCTTTGTAAGTGTCGATCGATGATCCGGAAGTTACGATCCGCAAAGAACGCGGCGGCGAGGTCGCGTTTTTCCCGGTGTTTAAGCTGAAATTAACGCGAGTGCATTTCGTGAGTCTTCATTTAATTTTTTTTTTAATGCTGTTTTTGAGAATTCATATTTTCAGGTGTATATACCGATTTATGAGTGCGTGCGTAACGCACATGCTCGCTCCGTGCACGCTTGGTCGTCGCGAGATCGAGGGATAAGTGCGAAAAGATTAAAAAATCGACACCCATCGATGGCCACGCACTGTGCTCCAAGTATAAAATACTGCAATTCCTATGTCGCACTGTGTTCGATTAATCAGCAACGAGCGTCACAGAAGTCTATTTGCGGTATTTGAATCAACACGCAGTACCGATGCGTTTGATATAACTTTGCCAGCAACTTTCATACGCATGCCGTTCATCGTTGATTCGTGACTGTTGTTCGATGAGTGTAATGTGCCGAAATATAAAAACGAAATATAGCCAGAAATACAATCAGTGGTAAAGAGAGATGATATTTATTCCACGACCGACCATTTTACTTCGAAATTTCCGACATTCGCATAATCTCGTTAGTCAGCGGACAAACAGCTCTATTTCATTTCACCACAAAGTTTAAAAGAAATTATTCGATTTTGATGACAAATTTTTATGAGTGTTTTAAAATTTATCTTCACGTTGAATCTTCTTTCCGAACGATATCACATGTATTATTAATCAGAAGAAATAAACTTTCTGAGGTGTTTTGAAAATTTATCGGATCGTAGATATTTGCAGCATAATTGCAGTTGAACGTATATCCTGCTGAAATTTCAACTATCGAAGTATCGAGACACATCGACTTTGCGAAGTTCAGCTTTCAAAAGGCCCAGTGGACATCTTGCTTCATTTCGCGGAGATTTACTGTGCGAGACTGAACGCGTTAGCCGAATTCGCGATGTAGAGACATAAAGACAGAGGCGCTCTGAATTCGTAGGGAACCGCCTTCGAAAAGAGCTTGTATTCTACAACGATAAAACTACAATCGCCACTCAGAGCCTGTCAGGAGAGACTTCGCTCCGTTACGGATCCGTTTATCTGACAAATCCAGTGATCATCCGTTCGCCCAACACGCTCCATGGAATCCTGTAGCAGCAAAAAATTTCCCTGACAGAACGCATCGGTCATAGAATAAAAAAAAAAGGGATAACAAACGGCGTAAATGGCGCGAAGCGGATAAAGTTTCAACTACTCGTGTTATCTGCGTTTGAAGAATTACGTCTACATCGGAAAATCTGCCGGAGAGATCGATAGCGCGTTCAAATCGTCCCATTTGAAGAGAAAAGAATCTTATACGATAGGAGAGAGAAGAATGAAGATCGTTGAATAAGATGGGAATACCGTACGGTGATAGCATGTATCGTCGTTAGAGATTTCATTCTTGAGAGTCTCAAAAGACAAATAGTCAGCGTCTCATTAAATGACGACGGATAGGTGAGCGACAAGATAGATAGAGGACGGGTACGTGGCATGTCGGTTCACGGCGACGGCTACGGCAGCAACAACGACGGCAAAGAGCAGTGGACGATGTGGATGGCAGCGCAATGCAGCAGCAGCAGCAGCAGCAGAAGCAACATCAACGACAACGGCATCAACGACGAGAACGGCAGCAACGTCGAGAGTTGCAATTAGTGCCAGCTCGCAACGGCCGCGAGACAACGTAACGACTGAAGAGGGGGGGGGGGGCGCTGACCGTTAGGGGGTCGAGGGTGTGTGCAGTGCGCGTGAAAGGGGGACAAAATGTGGTGGAGGTGGCGGTGGTGGAGTGTCGTGACTACGACGACGACGATGCTGGTCTTGGTAGCCGCATATTCGCCGCCTGTGGAACTATCCGATCTGGATAAGCCAAGTGAGTAATGCCGCTCCGTTACGTCACTAGTTATGCTGATTTACAATTGAGCTTAACCCTTTCGGTACGTCCAAGTCGAAGCACGAGGTGCTTGCAACCGACAAATGTGCCAGCAGTGCTGGTGTATCAATAACACTGGAGAATTTGTTAGAAATACACTAGTTGGCATTATATTACTTACGTTGTATCATCGCGATGTATTATTCACATAAAATCATCACATAAAAAAGTTAAAATTTCTCTAGAGAACAGAAAATTCTTTCGTCGTAAAATATTATAGTATTTCTGTTTTCTATCACGCCTAGGAATTTCACTACAATGAAAGTGTCAAGGTATTTTATAAGGCTTCATTTAAAAGGCCGCGCCGCGTAGTATTTTGCGGATCGAAGACCGTGACGCGACAAATTAAATTAAATCTTCACGGTTCCTCGTCATGAGGTTGTTATGAACTTGAAATAGCGGATTAGTATCACTGACTTCATCCGAGGAAGTTTTGCTCGACCGCGTTCCGGCTTCGCCCTCGAGAACATTGATCCCACGAAACTCATGATGTAATCGATAAAAGGGGATATAAATGGAAAGATTCTGAATATCATTAGTAAGGTTCTCCGATGTCCCATAATTAAACGGGCAATTCGCACCCATCGAAACTGTCCTTGGGGCACTACGAAAGTGTGGAACGTGCCGCGACACGCCGACAGTTACATACGAGTATCGAAAAATTAAAATAACACTCGGTAGATTATTTTATCGCAGTCGGATCTTCAATGTAAATCATAATTGTAAGAATTTTAATCCGACTGATACGCAATCGCGGTTGATACATATCATTAGCGATATGAATCTGTTCTGTGATTAAAATCTCTGGCACTATTACATAGTCATAATTGTGTTCATCAAATGACATATGCGTACGCGATTTCAAAGTAACGTAGAACAAGGAGAAATAGATTTTAGAGAGCAATTTTAAACTATTATTCAAATTAATCATCTTCAATATTACTTAAATTAGAGTAATTTTCAGAATCTAATTAATTATATGCGATTTATGAATAAGCTCTTTTTTTTCTCTTTCTTTTTCTAATATGAGAAAATTTCTGACGATACGTCAATTATATCAAAATTATATCATTAATAGACAACAATATTTAGGTCTTCATAAATTACTAAAACTATAAACACAGATGAGCTCGTAAATGTCAAAGATCTTATACGAAGCAGAAAACTAATGTCGAAGTTGCCTTATAACGTTATCCTTGGATGATGAGCAATATTATATTAATACCTAATGTCTGACGTAACCAAACTAAAAATATGATTACATATTTTTCCACCATTATTGACTACTTGGTGTATTTAGAGTAGCCGGAAGAGTAAATGAGAAACTTTTGCGGATCGATTATTAGAAAACTTTTGCCATCGTGTTCATTTCGCTATGCGCGCATCTTATTATACTCGGCGCTTTGTAGGTAATATACACTACCTAAAATTAATTTAACAACCTGCTGGATTAACGGTAAAGAAAATTGTAGGACGAAAGTATCCGATCGATTCAGGCACAGCACGTAGAGGAGAAGGCTTAGGTAAGAGAATGACGGCTAAACTAGTTTAATTAAACCACGGCGCTAAGCCCCTCTTAAATTTATAGCTGCGCGATAAAAAAGGATGTTCTACAGTGGGGACGTGAAGAGAAAAAATTGGAGTTTCAATAGCGGAGTTTGAGCTCGTTCGGTTGCAAGAGCGAAAATAATGTGACGCCAATTCTGCACTTTTGCGAAGTTCCTTTGAGAAAATTTTCAATCTACCATGCCATTTATTTTCATCTTTGTTTTTTTTTTATAAATATTACATAAATACCAATAAACCATTTTCCTTTTTACGTATTTAATTCCGATAGTCTATCTATAATCTGGAGTATACACAATTATTGATTTTCATTAATGACACTGATATTTTGTAACAAAGAGAATACTCTTTGACATTTTCGCAAATTCTAATTCTGGTGATTTAGTGACTATCTTCAATGTCTATATTTACTGAGAGAATAGTGTAATAGTAGGAATATTTGGAAATATTCAAATTATCACTGATGGCATGTTGGATCAGAGGGACAAATGTTAGTTATAATTGACAATCACTGCATATTCCCTATAAATATAGAGATTGCTAATCCAATAATAGATTTATAGTTGTGGTATTTATAGTTAATGTATGTACATATTTATGATTAACAATCAATGACATTTATCATTCCAATTATCATTATATGAATATTATTGTGGAAAACGAGTAAATGTCGTTTCTCAATAAGTTAAATATAGTTGTTAAAGAAAGGAACAGAAAATTTGCTCTTAGATTTTGAAAGGAACAAAAATGTAACAAGTAATCTTCGGTTATTTTATAGAGAAATGCAATCACGCATGCAATTTATGTATAGTGTGAGAGACACGTTACAGAATCGATCGCAGCAAGTTGATGCCTCAAAACTTTCGTCAGGCAAATTTCATAATCCGTCGTTGCCTTAGAAGAAATTTCAGAATACTTTCAAAGAAAATAAAGTACATATATACGTATCGTTATCGACAATAAATTTTATACACGTGTAATATAAGCAAGTTCTTGCAACTATTGCTGATTCAAAGGCACTTAATTACGATTGAAATTACTCGACTTCGTTATACAATTACTTCATAACGTGGCGAAACATAGCTTATATTTTCATAAGGTTCGTCTAACCTCTACTTCAACAGGTGTTGCTAGCGGCGAAAAGACAACCGACGCGACGTGTACGCAGTACACGCGTAACTAACACGTCGTGTTAATTAACGACGCTTTCATGTTTATTCGCATAGCTGCGCTAAGGCCTGCATCTATTTTGCCATGTTCCGGCATCGTGAAATAATGACATTCGATTTCTCCCTAATGAGACTAATTATGTAGTCCAATACGTTAAAAAAAGCGGTGAGTAAATGCCGGTGATGAGTGATATGTTTATTTTTATAGCGTTCTGTGGTTTTTACGTCTAGTACTGTAAGCAGCGTGTACTTTCGGTAAATAAACCGCAAAAACCAGAAAGACCATCTTTAATGTGCACATCATTGAGAAATATACTTTGTAGTATAAAGAGGATCTTTTTATGCTATGTTTTTACAAACATACTGCATCGTAAAATATAAACCAGAGCTTACCATGGCAGGCTAACGTTTTAATAGAAACTGCATAACAGTTTTCACCAGGTTACAATATATATAAAAAATATGTTACACAGAATCTAGTTCGTTTTAAAAACAACCTATTTTTTTACATATACAAAGTTTTAAAAAATCTAAATCCCAGTAGAGACAGCTTAGGATCAACCTTTAATAACTTTTCGAAAAATTTTTGGTTATATTTAAAATATTATACCAATTTTTGTATCTTTCATTTCAAAAATATCGCGTGAGATATAAACATCTTTTTATTTCTATTTTAAAGATGCGGGAATTCTCGTCTAACAATAAAAGTTGTATAAGAATGAAGTATTTAAAAAAATTTTTTTACATAAAATATCTAGGAAAATTATTTATTCACGTTTTAAGACATAAAAGATATATCTAAATATGTTTCCTGAATAAGTATAAATATTTCTGAATTTTTGCGTGCATATTTCTTTCTTTATTATAATTCAATGATGGTGATTATGGCAGCTTTCATTTCCGTCCAATGAACCTGAAATACGTATTAAAAAAAAATCAAAGTTCGTTTTATTCGTTGAATGCTGTTGTTGATATTGAACCACTAAAATGCCTCAATGTATGAAAAAAACGACAAAATGGTAGCCTGTCATAGTAAAAGTTAAACTTGATAAACATCGATTCTTTTACTTTGACAGGCTGCTATTTTGTATTTTCCACGTTTTAGTAGTTCAATACAAAAAAAATAACATTTAACAAGTAAAACGAATTTTGATTTTTTTTATTTCAAACTCATAGAACGGAAATGAGAGCTCCCACAAATCGCCGCAGACCATCAGTGGTTGAAACATAATAGGAGGGAGAAAGAGGAGTGAAAAAAATTTAAAGATTTTTATGAAACAATGTATCTTTTATATGTGTGTGTATAAAATGTTCAAATGTGAATGGGTTTTTTTATATTTCTAAAAATACCTTATTTTTTTTAATTCTTATAGAGAATTCCTTTTAATTATAATTTCATGGATTATATCATTTATTTTCTAGAAAGTTTATTTTCGATACATTCGTTGTAGACTTTGAAATCCGTCTTTATAACAATAATATCTCTAACAGCACTTCCCAACAGCTTTCAAAATTACAACTACGGAATCGTTGTAATTAATTTTTGTCGGCAAAATCGAAGCGAGGGCAACGACGGAATGACCACGAAATCGACCTAATGGGCGGTCATTTGTCATTCTTCATAGGGTAGAAGGTGGCATTGCGGAAGGGGTGAGAAGGGTCCTTTGCACATTGCTGCCAAGACGATAATTTGCACGCGATTTCATCCGCCATATACACCTTCTATGTCAGAGTATGACTTAATGGAAACACGGCTCAGCTCACTCCAGAATTCAGAAATAACAGAAATTTGTAAAAGCGAATGCGACAGCCATTCTGCATTTTCGCGAATGTTATTCTACATGGCGATCGGTATATGTACAGGAATCGTAAAAATAATTTTTAACGTAACGATACAGCCGATATTATTATATTTCCATTGTCGTAAAAAAATAATAGATCTCATCAACGTCGTATCCTCGTGTAATTACCTTATCGAAATAATAGTGGGGATATGGTAAAAGCAGCATTATCGCGGATCTAGAACAAGCCGGAGATGATCAAGCGACATGTATGTTTCACACCGACACGCGAATACTCAACATTAATCTCGAGTTATTCTCTCTAATTCTGGAAAGATTAATTGGAATTGGCACCTGTTATTCTTAGATGATTTCTGCTAAATAATATTTCGTGCGCACAAATACTTAAAGGGATCAAACTGAT